ACGCGCCGCGCCGGCCCCGCGCCGCGCGCGCCCGCCGCCAGCGCCGCGCCGTACCGCGCCAGCACCGCGCGCTCCACGCCTGCCGCCAAACCATACGTCACACAAAATGTAGCAGATGTATTCCAACTACATACACGTAAAACCTCCGGTATTCGCCAACCTCTTAGACCATGGTTTAAACTTACATGGTGAAATCAAATTGCATTGTTTCATTTTAGAATCATTTCCGGGAACCTTATTCCCGGGGAATGACGGTGCAAATAAAAACATTCTTTGCTTAGCTTAGTGTCATATCCGGGTAGTTTCCTAAATTTTATTTTAATGTCCGTCTGGTACATTAATTTAAAACTTTAAACATGTATTTTTTCTTTTTTCACAAAATTAAATACTATCGACGATATCTTAATTCGAAATATCGTGTAACGTCACAGCGTGCCACATTTTGTAGCACTTTATGACGTAACGACCTCCCACTCCTAAACTTGAGCCATTTAATCTAAGTCTTGCAATTAAATACGACAAAATAAAAAATACGTGTCTAATATTTTTCATTATCTAACTGACCAACTAAATAATAATAATAGTAAACATTTATTTCAGAATTAATTCCATACACGACAGACAGACAATGCATATGCAATGATAATGCATAAATAATTAGGTTTTTAATTTAGATGCCCTGGAAACTACCAAATTTTCCCGGAAATGACTACGCAGCTGGGCCGTTTCCAACATAGTCCGCAACGCACTCGTGCTACTTCTAGTATTACAGATCCAACAATAAATAAGAATGGTTCAACTTGAGCCAGTAGTGCCGGAGACTAGCGCAACCAAAAAACTATATGATTATAACTCACCGAGACTATGCACAGTGCGTACATTGAGCACTGCCTCAGTGGCGACTCGGCTGGCTTGCTCCATGGCGGCCCGGGTTCGAGTCTCCACCCGTCTGTTCACCCAGCCTTCCAGGTAGATACCACCCATTACCTACATACAAAACAATATTAATTAAGTCGTGGTTTTATACCCAACAGATGGCACCAATCGAGCAAAATATTAATGTACGAGGAGTGAAAGACTAAATTATTTTAGTATGACAGAGAAACACAGATGTTCTGTCGGTCCTCATCTCAAGTATATAATGATGGCTACAGTTTTCTTAACTCTCCAGATGCCGTAAATATAGCAAGATGTTTGTCAAAAATAAATGTCTAATGGAGCGACGCTATAATGATACAGGTGTCAGTTGGTCGGTTCGTTCTTTATATGTCTGCTGCGGAGCTACGGAGTAATACGAAGGTCGAGCCACAAATTGGCGTGAAACAACAACTTCCTTGTGTTTAGCAGTTTGACTGAGTGAAAATAACAGAGGGTCAGTCCCCCCCCCCGACCCTAGAATCCTCAATCCCCCAAAAGATCGGCAATATAATAATATACTGACACAGGGCACCGACAGCAGACTGACGAGCGTCATCTTCCAGGAGTAGAACAGAGCCAGCCCCACGCCCAGCGACATCGTACTGATTCCTTGCAGCATCGTACCCAGCCGAGTACCTGCGGGGACAATTACATTGCACGAGTTAATACACGAACAATGTAGTACTAGTCAAGGTGATAACCAGTATAGCCTGACCTTTCAATGCGCGGAAAGATCAAACAGTGCGAGACCACTATAAACTGGTATTTGGGTCAGTAGCTCTTAGATTATATGCAGTAAGTAATGGGGGCAGTAGTGAAGTAATTACCTGACGAATAATGGAAACTAAAGTAACATTGTGAATTTAGAAAGTATGTTTAATTTCAAAAAGTACAAATATATAGAAAGAGGGGAAAGGGGTGGTATTGATGTTAAAATGAGGGAGAAGGGAGACGGGAAAGAGGAAGCAAGGATAAATGAGAAAAGCGGGAAGAACAAGGAAAAGGTGAACAAAGGAATCAGGAAAAGGGGGCAAGACGGAGAGGGGACAGGGAAGGAAGAAGATAAATGGGGGAAGATAGATTTAGATGAGAGGTGAGAGATAAGAGATAAGAGACGGGGAGAAGGCAGAAAGTAAATGAGAAAATCACAGGGTTCCTAACATAAAAGGTGTGAGTAAATAGAGTTATGTGGTTACCAGTGGCGCCCTGCACGGCGGCGCAGTCGGTGGCCAGGCGGGCGCACAGCGCGCCCACCGAGTTCTCGGTGCGGTCGAACCAACCCTGCTCCTGTACACACATACTGAGTCATTACGTCATCTGTAGCGACATCTATACGCCATACAGTGAAAACAGAGCTCATATATAGATCAATAGATGGCGTTATCTGCAAAATGATACGGTTGTCTCAAGTAAATCGTAAAGCAAATTTTTTGGAAAACAAAGTTTCTGAAATGTCTGTCATGTTGAATTTCTAAAGCATTACTTAACCTTTCATAGTAAAAGAAGAGCACCAAAGAAATCTCCGCAGTGTCATCACCTTTTTTTCTCTAGTAGTGACGTAGTGGTGAACGCGTCTTTTTCGAGCTGTTTCGCGGTTAGAACGGTTAAGCAACTGGGGAGAAAGTATAGTATGGAAGTACACCTACCTGTAGTAGATAGTTCTGGAAGGTCATCTGGCGCAGCCGGTCGGTGAGGCGCGCGCCGGCGCGGTTGAAGAGCCACGCCTGCAGGAACGTGAGCGCGCCGCACGCGGCCGCCACGCCCGCGAACAGCGCGCCGTACACGCGCGACTGGCGCAAGATGGCGCCGCCGTCCGACCACGAGAACATCTGCCGACGACACGACACGTCAAGGCGGCCCACACATTCAACAACGCGTTGGGCCAATAAAATGTAGAAATGCTACAACAACTCACACGCGACGGCGCGACAGGGTAATGTCTGTATTATAATACTAATAAAGACCATCGTCTTTACTGACGAATGCCAACAAACTGAACGAGACGCTAATGTGGAAACGCTGTTTGTGGAGTGCGCCAAGACCCTTTGATGTGCGTACGAAAAACCTAAAAAACTCGGATGGCTGGCCAACATTGGCGCCAAGTAGTTCTATACACATTGGTGCAGCGCGCTGGCCCAATGCGTTGGCCCAATGTGTAGAGCCGCTTTAATACCTCTATACTCAAAGTCAAAGTCAAAGCATTTATTTAAATTAAACCATAATTTGGAAGCTAGGTGCTCAATCCAAAATGTAGATTCGACTCCATTCGTTGCTCGGATAGCCCGCTATTGTAGAATAAATATTGATTCTATTTCTGCAGCTCGACCCCACAACAAAATGCCGTACGACATAATGCTGTGGAAATAACTAAATAGACAAGCCTTGCTGAATCTACGTCCGTGAGCTGCCTAATCTGTCTTCTAACTGCAAAAGCAGCTGAGCTCAATCACCTCGAAAGCGCCTTTATATGTGCACCCCATTGTAACCTATTGTCTAAGGTAATGCCTAAAAATAATGTCTCGTCGACAAATTCTAACTTTTGACTGTTCAAAACAATATCACAATCGTTACTACGCACGTTTGGTAAACTGAATTTAATACATTTGGTTTTTCTCATTATGTGCTAGATTATTAAACTGTCAAACACCAAGCGGTCACCGGTGACCGCAACCTATTGTTCTATAATTGTGTCTACAAAACCGGTACTCGACGAGTTGGTGAACAAATTATGCACTCGAAAAATGGAGCTGTTTACGTCGTCAAGATTATTTGAACGTCGATCTATTTTAAAAATTAATGATGTATCTGCAAAATGCACCATTCTTGGTTCATTTTTTAATATAAACGGCAAATCATTTATATAGACAAAAAAGAGAAAGGGACCCAATATTGAACCTTGAGGAACGCCCATATTGATTCCACAGCCCTGCGAGTTAATACCGTTAACATGAATCTTTAACTGTCTTTCTTCTAAATAAGATTTCATAAGACGGAGCGCAGAGTTTCGTATCCCGTAGTGATCTAATTTCAGCAAGTGTCTCGCGGTCAACGCAATCAAATGCTTTTAAGAGGTCACAAAATACACCAATAACATCGTGTGCTTTCTCCCAAGCACCAAAATATTTAGTTAAACCGTATTGTTATTGGTGAAAGATAGAATGTTTATTAAAATGATAAAGCATCAACTTTTCAAAGACTTTGCTGAGAACTGGCAAAACAGACACTGGCCTATAGTTCTTAGGTTCTTTAGTGTCACTGTCACCCCTTTTACATAGTGGGATAACTTTACTACATTTCATTAGGTCAGGGAAAACACCGTCATCTATACATTAACATTGAAAATCACAGCCAGATATGGCGCTACAGTTTGAATGAGTGACTTGCAAACTTTTACCGACAATCCCCAAAGATCCTCCGTTGATTTGGTCTTGATTTCTTTACAAACTTTTATAATTTCTAGACGATTCGTATATCGAAATTTAAAGTCGTGTTGACATGATTGATTCTATGTTGTTCTTAAGCAAAGTTACAGAGAGGTTTGCTGATGACTTTAAATGTTCAGTTGATTTGATAGGAATGTTGGTAAAAGATTTTCAAACTCCTGGGCTACATCTACGTTTGATGACATCTCCTGGGCTTTTTTTTTTAAGGGTGGAAAATCATCGAATGACTGCTCCCGCCTGGGTGACTGCTCCCGCCTGGGGTCTCCTGGGCTACATTTACTGTGCGACTGACCACTCTGTATGACCATAGACAACAATAAAAACCGGCGTGAAACCACCCTTGCGTAGTGTTTCACCGCGTGAGTTAGGTTACTGGAACTGGAATCAGGAGTGGTTATTCCCATACCAGTGCACCGACCATGCTGGAAGGGAAATGCGTAAGCTTGCGCTTTTGCTTGGCCTGACCCAGCTGGTCCAGGAAGCCACAAGGGTGCCCGATGTCAATACGCACACTGCCAATTGCTTAGACCTTCTGCTGATAAATGATCCAGATCGCTACTCGGTGACAGTCTCATCACCTCTAGGTAGCTCTGACCACTGTCTGGTGAAATCTGTATCCACACACTCCCCACCAGATCCGAGTCCCAGAGGACCTCGGCGGATGTGGCGATACAAGTCAGCGGATTGGGATGGGATGCAATCTTTTTTCGCATCCTATCCTTGGCGACCCGTCTGCTTCTCTTCTGATGACCCGTCAGCTTGTGCGGAAGCCGTAACGGGGGTGCTGCGCCAGGGCATGGAATACTACATTCCATTCTCGGACGTGGCATCCTTTGGTGGGTCCCGTCCTTGGTTCGATGCCGACTGCGGACGTGCCGAAGCGCAAAAGCAGGCGGCATACTTGGCATGGACGGATGCCAGGCGCCGTAGGGCTGATATTCATCAAAAGAAGAGAGCCTTTAATCGGGCTGCCAAGTCATGCAAAAAGCCATTACTCTACTACTAATAGCCATTACGCCTCTGCCCCAATCTTCTCAAATCCCAACCTAAAAAATAGAGAATTGAAAACCCCCAAAATGTTCGCAATGTACTCGTAACTCTTGGAGTGTTCCGGGAGTCAATGGGCAACACGATTATCATCAGGTGATCCGTCTTCTTGTTTGCTGCCCTATACCATAAACAAATAATAGCTAATATAGATATAGCACAAAATACATATATGACTCACCCCATACAACTCGGCGAATAGTAGCGCGAACACTGGCATGGTGGCCCCGACCAGTAGCGACGCTAGCGCCCCCCCTAGTAGCTGCGGCCACTCCGCCGCGTTCAGTTTCAGTAGCTCCCAGCTAGATACTGACGGACTAGTGTCCTTTTCTCCTTCCTCCGTGGACTGGACAGGGTCCTCCGAGTCCTCCGTGTCCTGGAGTGAGAAATATTTATACAATGTGTTTGTTGGGAGGTTAATGTGTTCAAAAAAGCATAACATTATTGTTACGAAATGCGTTGAACCAAGGACCGGTCCTTGAGGTACGCCATATAACGAGAATTTCATTTTATTCCAAGAAGTATAGATTTATGATTATTTAGTTTCGTCTACACCAAAAACTAAATCACGTAGCACAAAAAAATGAATTCTAAATTTTTTGTCCATCTTACCTATTCATTTCAGAACAGTTACTCTATCAAAAGCCTTAGACAGATCTAATCAATTTTATGATACATTCAACACTACACTTATGTTTTAATAAAACAATATTTGCATTGTGTAATTGAGGTTACCGAATTCCCAGGTGGATGGCAACGCATTACTACCTCGTGTAGTGTACCGGGTACAGTATACTTACAAGTTGCGCGAGCGCGCTGTGCGGTATGTGGGCAGACACCGAGCTCATGCGGACACTGCTGCGGGTGAAGTGGCGGGACGAGTCTGTACACAAGAAGACGAGATAACACTCAGTCGTCGTCAGCAGTGGGTGGCAGTCCACTGCTGCACTATGAGCCTCCTCTACATAAGAGGAATTAATCATATCATACATATCAATCAGACATAATCTCCACGCTTGGTGATGTGGTTAGAGATTTACTAATCAAGTTTCTAACAAAACCGAGCTCAAAAAAAACAACAAAAAGTGTGAGTGAGGTTACCGGAGGCCCAATTACTCCCCCTCTCCAGTCTCCCCAATCCCCCACAATCCTCAAAGTCATGAAAAGCCGGTAACGCACTTGTAACGCCTCTGATGTTCCAGGTGTCCATGGGCGACACCAATTGCTTACCATCAGGTGATCCGTCAGGTCGTTTACCGGCTTATCCCATAAAAAAAGAATCAATAGTTCGCGACTGTTTATTGTGTTTACGTTTCTACAAAATACAATAAACGTGAAAATCGTAATGTTTACATACCTCTGACGGACTGTTGACTGACACCTCTCCTGAAGTGGGTGTGGTCGTCAGCAGTAGTGACGTCATCGTCGTCCTCCACTACTGGCTCCGAGTTCATCACATTCACACTCCTGAGGAGAAACAGATATGATATGAGCCCCAGTGTAACTTGAAAGTGGTTTAGCACACTTGAAAAGTTTCGTAAGTCAGTTGAACTATGAGGCTCCTCGGACCAATAAGAGGGGTTTCTGCCATCTCCACGCTTAGCAATCAGGTTCTACACCCTTGTAACAAAGTTTTAGATTAACCAAGAGAGCAGGGAAGAGTCTGTATTTGAACGCGCTAATCTCAGGAACTACTGGTCGGAATTGGATCATTCTTTTTGTGTGGTATAGGCCGTTTATCGAGGAATGTTACAGGCTATAAAACACCACGCTACGACCAATCGGAGCCGAGCAGGGAGTGAAACCGCGCGGCAGTAGCCGGTAGTGGTACAGACGTACTTGGTGGTGAGGTCCTCCTGCAGCAGCGCCCAGTAGAGGCCGCGCCGCGCCAGCAGCTCGTGGTGCGCGCCGTGCTCCCGCACCGCGCCCTGCTCCACGCACACGACGTGCGCGCCCGACAGGCCTGCGGACGGACATGAATAATAACTATCTTGGATCCCGCAACGAAATAAACCAGAAGATATTAATCGAAGGAAAAAGCGATAGTTTCCACTTCCCTCGGTGAATTACTGCAGGAAATAGAATTAAGCCCAAAGACAAAAGAGACTTCACAAGTGAGAGAAGTCAGTGGAGTCTTGCGGTGGGTCCAAGACAGTCGAGTAGGCTTGTAGGCCAAGCGATGTACCTTGCAGGCGGTGCGAGACCTGCAGCGTGGTGCGGCCGGCCGCGGCGGCGGCCAGCGCGGCGGCCACGGCCCGCGATCGGTCGGCGGCCGGGTCCAGCGCCGCCGTCGGCTCGTCCAGCAGCAGGATGGCCGGCCGCCGCACGATGGCGCGCGCGATGGCGATGCGCTGCTTCTGGCCGCCCGACAGCTGCGACCCGCCCGCGCCCAGGACCGTGTCGTAACCCTACACGGGACGAAACAAACCTTGTACACACAGCCTCACATCGACATAAGTTCATCATGATCCCACGTTCTGTAATCTTCCCGCACACTCAAAGGTCAGCTCATACTGGTATACATAGCGATATGTACAGTGGGGCACAAATACACCAACCTACACCCCATAAACGCCTTATCTAACTCAGTTGTGCAAACCATGTAATCCTGTCGTAATGCGTGTAATGTGGCAGTGCTCTGCTTTATTGGTCAATTCAGCATCATGGCGCGGGGGTAGAGAGCGAATCTCATCAAATGCAAGCAAACAGTAAATGGTGATCAGGCGGTTCTGCCCCTCATTGTACATACTGGCTAAACGTACTTCATGCACATAGTGCAGTCAAATAATTGTGAAAATTCGCACATACCCAAATTAATATAGTAGGTATTAAAGTATAAATATACTTAACGAAACGACCAAACTTGGCACTAACGCCATCTATTAATAAAGTACCGACAACTTGTGACAAAAACTATGCAGAAAAATGTAGTAGGTAAGTGATATGTTTTTACAAAATCATTAACAATTTTGGTCAAATTGTTATAAAATACTTACATTCGCAAGTTTGGTGATGAACTGGTGCGCGTGCGCGGTGGTGGCGGCCTCGATGACGTCCTCGTCGGTGACGTCATCCATGCCAAACGTGATGTTCTCTCGGATAGTTCCCGAGAATAGCACCGGCTCCTGACCTACCACTCCTGTACAGACAAACAAATAATATTAAATGATATTCGTACTTTGATAGGTATTGCTTAAACCTGTTCCCCAACGTCTGTAAACTTTTAAGGAACCAGTCAAGCGATAACCAATGGTATAGATAAGGGGTTAGTTTAGATGTTCTCTTGAGCTACATACGTTTTGTGAAACTTAAGTGGTGGACTAGGGATGGTTGGTTTGGTTAAAATTGCCCTTAGTACAACAATACAATATGATTGTTTCTTCTAGTTTCCCATCAAAACATTTTGATGCTTTTCCTACGTACTATTGCTGACCACCAGGTGGTCCGTCAGCTCGCCTACCCGAGCAGTAGCTACGTACCAATGCTCCGGCGGAAGTGATGCAGGTCCAGCGCTTGCAGCGGGTGTCCGTCGACGGTGATGTGTCCGGAGTCGGGCTCGTACAGGCGCTGCAGCAGCTGCAGCAGCGTGGACTTGCCGCAGCCCGACGCGCCCACCAGCGCCACGCTCTCGCCCGCGCGCACGCGCAGGCTCAGGCCGCGGAGGACCTGCCGATGATGAAGTTGAGGTACTTCATTCAAGTAATGCTTAACTAGGCACAACATATCATTGTCTTGCCGTCAGTGAAGCTAACTACAGTATTTAAAAGTTAAGCCAGTTGAAGATTTACACTGTTTTGCTTTCAATAGAGAGATCTTTTTTACGAGTCTCTGGTCGTTTTCAGTAAAGAGAGTACCTAATATGTCGCGGATGACCCAGAACCAAAATCCAGAATAACAATTCGTAGATCACGCAAAGAGTAGTTCCGTACGGAAATTGAACCCGCGACACAGTCCATAGTCCATAATTTATATTCCAAAACAAGACATTGTAAAAATTGAAATCTATATAAATGTAAGTATATTCTCACCTTGACGTCAGGCCGCGAAGGATAATTAAAGTATAGATTCTCAAACGTGATATCTCCACGGAACTTGTCAGGTTTGATCCCAGTGGACTCCAGTGCATTGATCTTTGACCGTCTCTGCAGCAGGCGGTAGAGGGAGCGGGCGGCGCCGCGGGCTGCGCTGAATGTTTCCAAGTGAGGCTGACACATTGCTATATTCTGAGCCGCCATGAACGTTAGGAATAGCACAGTGACCATGACTCCGGCATGGTATTGTTGTAGTTCGGGTTCGAGGTCCATGTCGCGGACGCATAGCTCCGCTCCGTAGACGAATACGATGGCGTTGAGCGCGTACGTGAGTAGCCAGCCGAGGCCTGCGCCGGCGCCGGACCAGGCGCCGCGGGCGTGGCGGGCGGCGGCGCCGAGCGCGCGCGTGTAGCGCTGCGCCTCGATGCGCTCGCCCGAGTACGCGCGTACGGTGCGGATGGCGGCGAGCGCTTCCTCCACGATACGCGCGGCGGCGCCGTACGCGGACACTTCGCGCGCATTGCACGCGGTTTGGTACTGTGCAGAGATAGATCATATCAATATGTAACTTTATTAAGGGTAACAAATGCGACTCGAATCCATAATCTTTTATAACTAATGTAACAATTTTTTGTGACATGTTACCAATTTCAATGAACTGTGACCAGAATCTACGCGTATTATGTGTATTTTGTATATCCATTGGAAATTACCTTTGCCACTACCGCCTGTACAGCCAGTGAGACTGGCACTACAGACAGCCCCGCCAGAGCCAGCTGCCAGCCGTAGTGTAGCGCCAGTATGGCCCCCACTAGTACAGTGCCACATAGGTTGGCAGTCATTGCCACGTGCTCGCCCACTCCGCAGCGGAACTTCTCCATGTCCCTGTAATGTATATCGTGATATTAGAGTACATAAAAGTCATAAAATCGCAAAAGTTTGAGCCCCTTTAACCTTACGAAAGGTAATTTAACCCAATGGTTGACTGGGAGAAAATGCCATAATATAACATTAAGTCTGACTTATGTACCTTAAATATTTTGTGGGCATTAAAGAGTTTATAAATAAATAAATATTTTAGGGCAGACTTGCCTGACTGAATCAAAAATATCATAGTATAATCAAAACGTTACACTTTTAGGACATTATTCATACATTTATCCTGATGAAATTGGGATTCAGATTATATTCAGACGGCGCAGACCATATTCAGCAAAACGTCTTGGCACCTAGCACTACAATATCAATACATGATAACAACGCCATCTGTTATTAACATCCGGTACTAAACAAACAAAGTTAAATTAGTATAGTAGTGTGGTCACTCACTCTGTGAGCGTGGTGGCGAAGTTCATGCTGGTGTTGGTGTCGAAGAACGCGATCTCCTGACTGATCACTGAGCGGAGGAGGCGGATGCGGAGCCGAGTTACCTGGAAGGCACAGAATTATTTGATTATACCTACTAAGAGAAATATCGGTAAACATTTGTTAGCACCTCTACTCTTTCCGCGAGTGTCGCAACAGTCGACTAATGGACCACTCATTGAAAAAGATCGGGCATCAACAAGGAGAAATTAAAAGAATTTGATTGTACTAAAATTGGCAAATTGACACTTATCTGTAGTACTTTAACTGCAATCTCCAAAGAGTCCGCCAAGCGTGGAGATTATAGCAAAACTTGCGTAACAACTGTGTATGGCGTTGAGACCCACAGGACAAAAAAAAGAATTGGAAAAATGAAAGTATTTCAATCTGTAGATTGAAATATTGATATATTGATTTGGCGTTGTAACGCCACGGAGTATGTAAGTGTCAGAGAGCTCACCATCCGCGCGGAGGCCCACTGCAGCAGCGCCACAGCGAGGGCGGCGGTGGCGATGTGTAGCGCTATGACGGCCGCGCTCGCCCACGCGAACGCCGCGCTGTCCTCTAGCAGCGCGTCCATGTGCAGCGACCTGTTGCCTGCGGGCCTGCAATATGACATTAGTACATTATACACTGGAAAAGTAGTTTTATCACCAATGGATAGAAAGTGTTCTTATCATTTCATGTGTCACTGCCTCGTTGCCCGAGTGGTCGCAAGTGCGACTGCCGGGCAAGGGGTCTCGGGTTCGATTCCCGGGTCGGGCAAAGTATTACTGGGTTTTTATAAATTCTCAGTAGTACCACGGAGTTTGGAATTGTGCCCATATACCGGGCAGGCTCACCCCCTATTACATGGGACTCATAACATAAATAGTGAAAAGTGGGTGTTCCATTGTACATAATGTGGCATAATGTACACCTCAGCCTACCCCTTCGGTGATAAAAGGCGTGATGTTATGTTGTATATAGGAGATTTCTAATTCTTTAGCCTTCTATTTAGTTACTAGACCTGGTGGATAGTTTATTCAGCGATTTCACAACAATTAAGTGTTTTATTTTAGCTAGTGAAATAGTCAGAAAGTAGTACCTATGAAAACTTGCTTGTTCATTCATATAAATTAATTGATCATTAAAAAATAAAATAGGGTAAAGTAAATAAAATAACGTACAACAGCCGTCCTCCTCCGAAAAACGTGAGCATGTATATGTCAGCGGGCGCGGGCTGCGCGGTGTGTCGCTTCACGAACAGCGCCGTCAGCTCGCCGTACAGCACGATGCCGGCGATGGTGCCCAGCGAGCTCAGCACGCCCACGCACACGCCCAGCACTGACACCAGCCGCTCCAGCAATGTCGCGTACCGCCACTGTACACAAACACAACACAATATTATCACCATACCTATAAGGACGTCTACTGCGTCACGCAGTCCTCTGCAATTACTTCCAGCTAGGTCCACAAACAGATCAGCTTGTTGAAGATCCGAAATGACCGAGATAATAACAATGAAGTCAGTCAACAACATAGATGGCGTTACGATCGTATTAGATCATATTCACATCATAATTTCTCTGTCGAAATCTTAAGGGACTCTTGAACATACTCAGTTACTCAGAATGGTTCTTACTAAGGTGGGGCAAACTAATTGAGATAGCAATTAGTGCATCTTGTTAACGGCAATTAGTGACCCTGCAATACTGCTGTTATTCTTTCTGCTACATATAATCATTGAGTAACTGTGATGTGTAACCTCGTTGCAAAATGGCGGATGTGATCGGAGGGACACAATCAGATGTTGCAAGTGTAGCCTTTATAAGATCTCTGATACACAAAAAGAAATTATAGTCTTCAGTTGATATCAAGTTAGTAGAAGATCCTTTGGCCCTCGGTATACAGGAACTACAGAGCGCCAAGTACTACGATCCCAGATCCTTACATACGGTTATTCATAGTTTTATAAGCAATATTATTGTATTTTAAATATTTAAGTACATTTTTAACCTGAAACACAGGCTTGGACCTAGTTCAGGTTTCACATATTTTTAGACTTTGATATTAAGATTTATTTTGTAATCTGGCTTTTTACACCAAATAAACATTTTATTTATTTATTTATTATTTATTCTGCTAGCACATTTATTGAATTTACAACGTTCAATAAATAATACATTCGATCTGTTTAAGCAAGTACCTACAACTTAATGAATATAAGTTTAGTATATAGCTAGCTATCGATATGTAGATGATCACATACAGTCCACTTTTCTAATGTGTCAAGTTAGTTGAGAATAAAGTTTCGCGTCAAACACACGTTTATTCATTCAAAATTCCTCTAAACCAAATACAACCTTATTGCTACAAACAGATCAGTTAAGAGTTAAACTATAAACGACCTATAAACGTAAAGATCTGTACGATCAGAATGCAAATGTGCAAAGCTACCAGTCAACATTCTGCCGAGTCATGTTTTAATTCCCAAACTGTGTGCACAGACAATGGGCAGTTACTGAGATATCAGGAGCATCACGAACACATACTTCCTAGATTATGTACACAAAGTAATAAAAATCACATTGAATACGTCACACTGCGCGCTGAACGAAATATGTTTAAACGCTGCACTTAAAATACCTCTTGATCTAAGTGTTTGTAATTAACAGCAGTAAAAAATATAAAGTGAGTTAACAGGTAATTAATCCGAGTCTCATTTGAACTGTAACTGCTAAGTTTTTCTCTATAACGAGCGGCTAGTTGGACTAAAGGACTGACTGATGTATTTTTAGGTCTAATTGAGATTAAATGCTTTGACTTTGTCTTTAAGAAGGTGTTCTTAGTTTTTGCTTGAGAGAGTAAATTACACAATGTGCATTAGTTCATCTGTTATAACTTATGACAAACTTCAAGTATAATATTATTGTATGTGTACTTAAAAAGCCATTGTAACGTGGTACTTGTTGGTCTGTACTACATGTGACCCAGCTTCCGTACGTCAGTATTGTATGAACTTGTTATCAACATCATCATCATCATCGTCAGCCTCTTTTGCAGCCTCCTCTGTAAAAGAGGCTGACGATGATGATGGGTTTGCCATGATTCTACGCCGTTTTTTTTGTGAGGGGGAAATCGTCCAATGACTTCTGCCGCTTTGGGTGAGGCGAGACAGTCAGACTCTTACTGACTTAAAACCACCCCGTTCCTACTCCTGCACGTCGAGCCGGAGCCCCGGTTACCCGTTAGACCTTCCGTGGCTCCGTATGATTCTACGCCTGGCAGGCGGGTTGAAAATCGCAGTTTAAAAGGGACCAGATTTA